TGTGTTAAAAGTTAGCGATGCCTTAAAAAAGGTTTTAAAGATCTTAGCAACTATTGATCAAGTTCTAAAAAAAAAAGAAAATTAAAAAAAAGAAAATTAAAAACAATCCACTGGACTTTGTTTCCAAGTTTGAAGACGTTTCTTTTCCCATCCTGGAAGCTTTTTTAAAATCGAGGTTTGGAAAAGCTTCCTGGATGGGAAACCAAATGTCTTCAAACTTGGAAACAAAGTCCAGTGGATTGTTTTTAATTTTCTTTTTATGGAATGACTATGACCTGGATGACTGAGAATCTTCCCCAGCAGATTGATCAAGTAAGCTTATAAAACATACAGTATAACTGAACATAAAAGCAAGCAGAGTTTAAATAATAAGAAAGTGGTTTAAAACTTTTCCAAGGTGCTTTATGATCCTTCAAAAATGCCTGTGTGCTATAGGAGTCAATTCTGCCTTAAAATTCTCTACAGCGTGAAAACACGTCAGTCTTTCAGTGCCTCTGATACACACACAATGCAGTAAAGCTCATTAGTTTCAATCCATGGTGGTATGCGAGGCGGCACGAACCGGATCCTCAGCTGCTTGTCAGAAAGTTTCGGGGTTCATTTGAAGTTTGCTTTTGTTTCTGCAGCTCCAACGCTTCTGTGGCATGTTGGTGGATTTATCTGTTGAAGTCTAAGATGATGGTTCTCACCTCAATGTGTTTGGACTTTCCAAAACAGTTCACACAAAACAGGGGAAATTTGGCATGTTGTGAGAATGTCTGACTGTGGTGAAAGATGTAGCCTGATAAGACCGAACAAATGTCAGTCTGGAGATGTCTGGATCAACACACTTCAGATTTTTTTTTAATGGAACCTCAGTTTTAATAAAACACCTGACAAAACACGGCTGTTTCTAACACAGTGAGCATGAGAGACACAAAGAAAAAAAATAAGGAGCACATAGACATTGTAAAAGTATTTAGAATTTGTTTAAGATACAACCACAAATTCAGATGTGAAAAAGCAAAACTAAGTAGAAGGTGATGAAAGCAGAATGGAAATGATTTATGTTTCCAAATTTTCAAATAACAATCTGAAAAAGTCCTAAATTCCACTTCTCTGTCACTCATTTGTAGCAACTATTTATGGAAATTTGCACCATTACAGGAGATCCTACCCACCTGAAGACTTCAACAATTGTTATAATAATTGTTTTCCAGTTTGGTTGAATAAAGTGGGTTTTTTTCTGTTGAATTAAATTAAAATGGATATCTGTAAACTGAATTATTTGTTCGATTTATAGCTAAAGATGGTTTAAAATTATTCATGACCATATGTGCTGGTGAAGATTGACAGTCATCCAGGTCATTGTCAGTCCAAAAAAGTAAAAAAAAAAAAAAACAATCCACTGGACTTTGTTTCCAAGTTTGAAGATGTTTCGCTTCCCATCCAGGAAGCTTTTTCAATTCAACATTTCAGAATTAGTGTTGAGTTCGAGGCTATATAGAATGGACGAAAACAAATCCTTGTTTTGGCTTAGAAAATATGCAAATTAAACCGGACAAACGGGTCCGCCCCTTAGGAATGGATATTGCAGGCTAACAAATAACCCAAACGACCCCCATTTCAAAGGGTGGACCTTTTCGTTCGGTTCAATTTGCATGTTTTCTTAACCAAATGAGGCTTTATTTTGGTCCACTGTATAAAGCCTCAAACTCAACGCTAATTCTGACATTTTGAATTGAAAAAGCTTCCTGGATGGGAAGCGAAACATCTTCAAACTTGGAAACAAAGTCCAGTGAATTATTCTATAACTTTTTGGAAGGTCCATATGTGAAAAGTAATACTCAAGTTACAGATTGACTGGATTAGTTTAGGCTTTGACTGGGTGATATATACACATTTACATGCTTTTTTCATTTACACCAGTGGTGTCCAGCATCAGTCCAAAAGTAATAATGTATGTTTGAAATGAGCAAGTCCTTAGCATCCTGAAGGACTGATATTGGAACAGGTTCAATATAGCTCTAACTCTAAGTGCAGGGTGGTTATCCCACTGGAATGTGAATATCTGTCCCAATCTTAAGTCTTTTCTAGCCACCAACTGATTTTTCTTCAGGATTACTCAGTATCTGACTACCTTCATCTTCCCAACAACTTTGATAAAATGATCTACTACTGCAGAGAAAAATGCAAACTGTTTGACGTGCAGTTAACTTTCTTTTGCTGTTTTTATTTCCCAGATTTGTGAAGCATTACATAAGCAGTTGTCCTACCAACAGATTTGAGCTTGGTATACATTTCTAATTCACAAATATGCTCTACTTGATTTGGACAATCAATACAACACAAAAGACAAGACGTTTTGTGGTAATAACAAAAATAACTAAAGGAGAAAAGTTGACATTGCTGTTGGAAGAGATTCAGATCTCCCTAAATAGATGGATGGATTCAAGACTTCAACATTTGCTTTTACCTCAAACAGCTGAGTTTCTGCTTTTCAGAACAGCAGCGAACTAATTAAAAACGTTGAAAGTTATCAACCACTTGGCTTTGTTGGTAAAAAAAAAGACAAATATTATGTCACACTTTAGACTGCAGTCTCAATAGAGTTTAATACATTTTTATGCTGGTAATTACAACTTTTAGCATCAACATCTTTTTTATATATGTGAATATAATCTGTGAGCTGTGGAGTTGCTTGCTTTGAGTTTCCACGCTCTCTTCGTCTCTTCTATGTAGGGCAGCCCGTGGATCAGCTGACATCCCCATCCTCCCACATGCCCACACAATCTTGTTAAAGCATGCAGTTAATCTGAAGAGGAGAAGGACTCTCTTCTCAAGCAAACCGTGCTTTCATCAACCCATTGTGTTGCCTACATGGGGCTGTCACATGAACATCGGATTCTCCCAAAACCCTAGCGCCTATAGGACAAGCTGTGGCCCCAAAATGGCCCCCGTGTGATGTAACTCCTCTATTAGTGACTTTATAAACTGATCTCTGTTCTATGAGGCATATTTCTATGGGGGGGACTGCTGTCTAAGAGGAGACTCTCCATTATTATTTTCTTCTACTACTTTTAAAAGATGGCTCTTCCATTAATTATTCAGACCGTTGCAAAAACACGGTAATGCTCTCAAAAAAACAACCTTTAGAGATCACCTCGAGTTATTGTTTTAGAAAATCTCATAAGCTGAGCATTTTTACAGGAATCCTATATTTATCATGATCTAACTTCCAAGAATTCAGACTCCTTTGTGTTTATCATGAAATCTAAAATACTTGTAGAAAAAAGTGAAATTCTGAACTTTTTTAAGACACTGCAGGAACCCTGCTATGCTGTTTTATTCAGTTAAAAAGCAGAAGCAACGTCTACATGACAAAAGAAGAATATATTGAAGGAAAAGAAAAAACAGTGAAGCAAGGAAAGGACTTTTGACTTTTAACACTTTATTTACACAATTAAAAACATATAAACAATTGATGTAAAACAAGTGTCAGCTAATGATCACTACTAAGGTAAAAACAAGTGTAAGCAAAAAAATCGATAAATGAGGAGCTTGTTAAAATGTAGATCTCCTTCATCTGACACAGTAAGTAAAATGTTGTAAAAACCCCACAACTGAATAAAATCCCCCACGTTCTGTGTGGCCCTGTGGAAGTAAAACTCCAGCCTTAGCCAAGGAAAGGAAGGGAGGAAGAAAAGACACAAAAAAAAGAATGAAAAGAAATTAACATTGAGGAAAGGTAGATCAAGATAGTAACCATAACAAAGTAAAAATTCAGAACTTAATTGTTTTCCAGGCTTTTCTGGAGTGGTTTGGAACCTTGCCTTCACATCACTCTGTTCTCTTCTTTTTCTCTGCTCTAAACAAGAGGTAACGCAGCCCAAGCTCCTACAGGAGCCTGAGCTCCTGTCATTACAATGAAGGCTGGTTGAAGTGCAGCTATTTAATGGACAATGATACAGGTCTGTCTCAGTAAGACCCCTGATTGAAATGCCACTCGCTGCCATTGCTGCTCTTCTGTTGCTGCCTACCTCGACACCTAAGCAGAAGCTCAACAAAGCAGGGTCATCCATGAATTCAGCAGGGCTGCATCCGAGCCCCCATCTGACAGGAGAGTTATTGTGCGAATTGAGACGCTGAGATGAGGGGTCGTTTGTCCCCACCTTTAAGTAGCTCGAAACCTTGAGACTCTGGGCTTCAGATCAAACGCCCCCCCTCCCTGTTCTCACTTGCTATTTAAGAGCCTCTTGCTTTTGTGGTCATGTGGAGGAATCTCTCAGAAGCACCTTTCTGACTTTAAAAAGAAAGCAAGTGAGAGCAAATCCCACATAATCACAAGTGTGCTTTTTCAGCCATTATGAAAATGCAGTGAGTTCTGAAGCAGGCTGCGGCGAGCTGATTGTGCTCAGGAGGAAAATAACCTGAGAGTGAGTAGCAGACCTCTTCACTCGCCTCCCGCTTATCAGGATGTGTCTTTAAAATGACTACATTTGATTAGTAATTGCAAAACAGCTGTCTGAAGGTACTAAATCTATTTCTAATTAACTACTAGAGTTGCAACACTCGCTGATTTTGATCTTGTAAACAACACCCATAGAGGAGGTTTTTCCTCCCAAAACAGAAAAAAAAAAACTTGCAGCTCAAAAACATTCAAGCTTCTCAATCCATGCAAATCTCATGTATGTTTCAGGGATGTGTGTGTATCTCAGTTGTCTTGGCAACACTGCCATCTCATGGCAAGCAAATAAACAGCCATGTGCTGTTTCATTTATTTATTTATATAAAGGCCTTTATTAGAAAAAGTTTATTAACTAATAAGAAACACATTTGTGAAATGTCACCCCTCATGCTTATTACTGTAGCTCCTTATTTGATAGAGAAATTTTTCCTATTGCTTACAAAGATATTAATCAAACCCTTCAACTTCTTCTGCAATTAGGAAAAAGTTAAAAGCAAAACAAATAACAGTTGTTTTTGTTTTACTAACTGCTTAATGTGACTGAAAACTGACAGTGCTGAGGTCAAAATGTTCAAGGTTTTTCTTAGGTTTTATCAAAGACAGCTTTTTCTCTTTTTTTTTTTGTGGGGACATACTCTTCCTTTGTGCTTTATATCTTGTTACTAAACCTCCAGAGAGCAAAACTGTCTCAGAATGAGGCTGAGATCTAAGAGATGGTAGCTGCATTCAGCTTTAGTCTTGGTGAGTGAACACAGTTTCTCTTCCCTCCCAAGAGGTCAAAGTCACCCTCCTGTGACTTTTGCACCCTTTTCTTTACATGGACTCTTTGCGCTCTTCCCCTCCGTCTGGTCCCATTTCCATGTCCATACGACAGCTCTGCTCTGCTCTTTGCCTCTGTTTACCATTCTCTTGTTCAGCCTCCTCTGTGTTACTACCCCTAAGGGTTTGACTGTAGGTCTCCAGAGGCCCACACCTGTCAAACACTGAGTCTTGTACCTGCTGTTCAAAATGCACCACAAAGATCCTGTAAAGCTCCAAAAGGACAATAAGTATGTTCTTGCAGGTGAAGAAAATCATCAGCTGGTTCTGCACCTTCTCTTTTATCATGAGGTATAGGCGATAAACCAGGAATGGGGCGTCCTGTAGTCCTACAGTAAGCAACAAACTCCAGATCTCATTGGAGCAGCAAGAGGGGGGTGAGGAGGAAGCTCCATGACAGCAGGGGAGGTTATTCCAGCTCCTCTGAGGAAGCTCACCCTGCGAGGCCTGCGTCTGGGTGAGAACCAGAGGAAACTGCATAAGCGCCCAAGAGAAGAGGGCAAGCCCAATGATGACGACCGTCCTGTTAGTTTTAACTTGAGGTTCCTTGAAGGTGTCAAAGATGTCTAGGATGTCAGCACCCAGTCCAACATAAACCATGAGGAGCTGTGAAAGCTGATCCCGTGACATGTCCCCTTTGGGCATCAGCCAACGACCCAGAACCAGTACAATAAGCATGGTCTGCTCCAGTCCTTCTACCCAGTTCTCTGGTTCAAGGTCCTCAATGCCCTGTGTGATAAGAACAGCAAAGTAGAGTTTATAAAAAAAAAAAATCATTGATACAGTTAAGAACTTATGAAAGTCTGTATCTGTATAAGTGGAGCAGGTGAGTGAACACATGGTGCAAAAACAGCCATTCATCTTGAACCTTTAGTGGCTGTAAAACAATGAAAACTTAACAGAGTCTATAATTCTAACAGAAATAAAAAAGTTTAATGTTTTCTTATTTTCTTTTTAGGAAAAAACTTTAAACAATGCAGCACACATATATATATATATATATTCCTAAATTGGGTCTCTTTAAATCCAATTTTCCCTGCTGTAGCCTATTTCTCAAACAGTCAGACTGGATATAGGCTGGCTGCAAACAACTTTTTCCGTATCTTGCCACCAATCATCCTCTATATTATATATATATGTATCAAATTTAACTGGATGGTTTAAACACATAGGTTTGCTTTGATATAAACCATTCACACTAACTCTGGCTAAATATTCAGGATTGTTTCCTGGCTTAAAGGTTTGTTCTTTTGAGGAGGGAGAGGAGGAGTTCATTTTTCTTCTGAGTAAATTATGTTTCACCAAAGCCAGAACGTTTAATTTCTGTCTGGTCTGATTAGATTACCTGCTTTCACATGTTTCCTATATGCTACATGAATTCCAAATGCATTGTTGTTCAATGCCTCTCTGTTTTACCACTCTTCCAAAAAGAAAAATAACCGTCTCCTCAACCTGAGCTGTGAATCTCTCCAGCTTCTGAGTTTTTTTGGCTACTTCACTAATTAGTGCTCTCCTTATCCAGCCTGATATGGACGGCCATTTTTTTGGTTGCTTTGCAGTTCAGCCATGTTCTTTCCATTTTCGACAGACTGAACAGTGCTATATCAGCAGAGCTCAGAAGATTAACCATGCTTCAAACTTTCCCACAACTTTATTCCAAAACCGTTCAGTTCATCCTTTGGTTTTCACAGTCCTTTGAAAACCACCAATCTTTTCACCTTCACCAATCTGTTTTGCACTACTTTGTGTTGGTTTGTTACATCAATGAATTTGTTTAAATCTGTACTAGATCTTAAGAAAATGTAGAAATATCTCTGCCCACAGGAGCAAACAGTCCAATCAATGTAACAATAGACAGGATCTATTCTTTCTGTTTTTCCATCCATTTTCTGTCACGCTTATCCCAAGCGGGGTCTTGTGTTGTGCTGGTGCCTATTTCCAGCTGTCTACAGGCGAGAGGCGGGGTACACCCTGGTCAGGTCAACAGTCTATTGCAGGGCTCTTTCTGTTTTTGATATATTAAAAAACAAATGTTTAATTCAGCCTCCTAATTAGAGGAGTTTTCTAACTATAAATTGTTGTAATAACATTTAGAGTTTCCAACTTTGAAGAAAGAATGCCTTCAGTTTTCATGTCCTTCTGCCCAAAGTGGGGCAAAAAAAAAGCTTCCAAATCCTACATCAAAGAAAACGCCACTAAAACCCCCCCACAAGGGAGATCTGAGCTTTTTTTTCTTTCATGCAGTTCCCTATCGAGGAGTTATCTCAGTGCGTCTGTTACACTTTTTCTGCCACTAATAGTTTATCCGCCTTCTTTCCTGATTTATATCTTATCTATTATCAGATGTCGCTTTAATGTTGCCACATGGGGTGCCAAGCAGCCGGGGTGGATTTGTGACGGGATTGTTACCTTTGTGATGGGGATGTGGGCCAGCAAACGAAGCTCGTGGCTGGAGGAATTGTTGAGGGGCAGCTTGGACTGTAATAGGCTCAGCTCCAGAAACCAAATGGATGGGATGACAGTACTGAGGTAGAGGAAAACCATAGGGGAGAACCTAAAAGAGGAACACCGAAGAAGAGGAACGTTGGGTTAAGAAGGTGATAACGGATATTTTTAGTCACATCCTTTTTCTTTTTTTTTGGTCCCTTTTTTTTAAACCTACTAAACAAGAAAGGGTTCCTTTTTTTTTCCCAAAAGAAGCATCGCATTTCAGACAGGCAATTATTCTCATCATATATGCAAATCCCACTTGACAGTGCAAAGCCTTCATGAGGAAAAAGCTTCAAAGTAGGAATCAGTGCGAAAAGCAGAGGCCTGAAGAAAGCTCATGTCTGGGGATGTTCAGCCTGGATGTGCCTAAAAGCTACAGCTTTTGAATGAAATGCAGCCTGCTTTTGAATGAGGTGTGACACTCGATCCTCATATCTATTTGAGGCTCACGCTAAAAGGGTTAAGCCATTTTATATTTATTCAGACCTGTTTTATAAATATATATCTGTGAATATGTATTTACCTGACCCATTCAGTGATGCCCGTCGGACCAGGTTTTGACAGATGGCCCCACAATATTGGCTCAGTGGAAAACAACGCCACTAACAAAGGGATTTATTTTTGATAGACAGCAGAGGAGAGGGAAAAAAAAACTGCTGAAAAAAAGGAAAATAATTCAGCCTTTTCTCCTGGCCCACAGCAGTTGGATTGCAAATTGTTCACAGCCAAAAGTTTTTAGTTTTCATTTATTTCCAACATAAAACACATTACAGAGGATGCCTCAAACCTCACGTCAAGACAACTACGTAAGCGCTTTGGTTTGTTCCTACTAATTTATCCCTCAGATTCAGAGAAGGGGGTTTTATGTCATTAAACTCATGCTGGTCCAAAATGTGCTTTCTTATTTCATAAGTCCAAAGAGTCTGGTTCAATATTTGTGGATTTTAGACTAATGTTTGGTGAAGACAGTTAACACTTCTAAGACAACTCTTTAGTTTGCAGTTGTGTGCAGAAAAACATTTACTAAATTAACTAATTTATTTACTTCCTTTGATTTCTTTTGTCCTTCATCACAACACTAAAGTGTCCAGGTGTTCCTACTTTTTATTCACTAAGTTTATATTTACTCTGACACCCTTTTTAGCTAATTTATAATAATGAGAAATACTTTTTTTAACTTTAACAGTTAAAGTTTTGAAGCAAACATAGCACTATAGATATTTACATAAATGATAGAGAACAATGAACACAAAAAGCACAATAGATTGGAAATAAGCAGTTAGCAAACATTTCAGTTTTGCCTTTTGTCAGTTCTCCTCTTTTTAGGAATATGCTACTTTATCTCCATGAAATAACAGGAAGAAATTCTGCCAGAAGTTTTACTAATTTTATAAATGTGAAAGTTTAATTTATAGCTTGTGACCCAGGGCACTGATATATACCAGCTACGTGGCCCTACAATGCATTACAAGTTACAGAAAAAAATCAACAGAGAAATGACTGGTTTTATATTGAATATACTTTTTTTAGAGAGAAATATAATTTTTGTGAGAAATATGATTTTTTTTAGAGAGAAAGCTGAAAAGTGTGGTGCTATCTGTTCCTCAGCACAAAGCTCTACACACCGTCTGTAAACTTTAATGCTGCAATCCAGCTTCTGTTCCTTATCATCTTATCAGAAATCTGTTGGAGATAACTTTGCACAAATCTTCAACACAGTGAAAAAAGGCTCAAGAACCAGTTCAGCTCGTGGAATGTTTTTAATTAACCTTGGAAAAACCGTACTAGGGTTGACACCAAAACACAGAGCGCCTGCATCTTGTTCAGTGGCATGGGCCCCCTTTGGCATCTAATGCTACTTTCACACTGCAAGCAGCAGAAGCCGCAAAAACATGCATGCTTCTTCATTTTTGATGATTGTAAAAGTTTTTAATTCTGACAAGCGGCTAAAGCATCTTTGCTGCTGTAGCTGTGTGGTCAAAAAGTGGATCTGATGCGCGTTGGATGGAGCTACCCTATCCTTTCTTTGCCTGTAACAATGGCAGCTATATTTGCTGTGATCAGTGGGTAAAAAGTAGTTTTAATTTTTTTTAGTGAGAAAGTCCACCTGAAAACTTGTTCAGGTGGAAATCTGTGCAGTCAGTTCGAGATTACGATCCTTCCTTCAAATATTATTTTGCTGTCGGAGACGCTCAGACCCCCATACACCGGCGGTGCGCTATCCCTAGGAATCCCGTTCAACAGCAGGATCTGATCTGCTTGCTTCCTCGCAGTTTGCCACTACTTTTCTCGGCGGCTGGAAGTAGATGTTAGCGTTTTTCACATACATAATCCAAACTGCAGGCACCAGGATAATAAAAGCGAACATGTTTTGCTGGCAGATTTCAGCCTTTTAAGTTAATTTAGATGTTAATAAATTGTTTCAGAGGAGTGATCATAGCGATCGATCTGCACCAGCAGGGCTGTGTCTGTCTCCCTGCCAGCTCCCAAATCAGCTTCTCTGATTGGTTGTTGCAGCACATCAAGCAGCAAAAGTTCAATTTTTTCAACTCCTGCAACTACTGCTTTCACAGCAAGTCCCGCACATCAGATGCTCAGAAGCTTGTGAGGCATTGCTTCAGCTGCTCAGACGCACTGCTCCTGCTGCTCAAACCACGCTGCAGGATCTTTTGCTGCACCTTGATACACGTCAACCATTGTATTTGCATTTAAACTAGCTGCGTCTGCTGCGTCTGCTGCTTTAGGTGTGAACGAAGCATGATATATGTTTTTGCTGTCTGGTCTATAGACATTTTTTCATAGTTCTGGTCCCATGCAAGTTGATGATCGTCTCTCCCTAGTGGTCTGAAGTATTGTTGTTATGCAGAGCTAGTTTGCATGAATAGTTTTTTGTTTGATTTTACTTGCAGTTGTTCTTAATAGTCACAACATGTTTCTTTTAATGAGCTGTGTGTGTTTGTATGTTAACATCATTTACCGTAAGTGTTTGCAACAGGTTTTGTTTTCCTTATGTACTTTCTACATTTCTGCTCTCAGTTTTCAGTCATTGTAGCCTTTCCTAAATTGCTGTTGTTTTTCACTACATGCAGCATTTTTTTTGCATCTATTTTGTTTTTTGTTTCAATTATGTTTTTTTTTTTTTTTTTCTGTTTGCTAGTCCCATTTTTTTATTTTCTATGAAATCATCGTGTATTTACTTGCACTCTCAGCCACAGTATGATGGTCACCTACAGCTCACTGCTTAGTTAGAAAAGCTCCAAACACGTATTTACCTACAAGCCTCTCATGCGACGGCTCTCACTGCTGGTATTGATCTACTCTGTTTATCTTGGCTTTCTTCATATTGTTATCAGACTATTAAAATCAATAACTAAATAATAAAGTTGTACGAGGCATTGTTTTCTAAAGCTTCACCACATCTGATTTTGAAATTAACAGATTTTATTGGATTAAGAGAGACATTACCATTTCCACTCGGCATTGCTGGTACATTTGAGGGTGAGGGCCATTTCCACTCCCAGCAGAGCCACACCCAAAACCAGCAGCCAATATAGGGGCTCCTCTTTAATAACCACCACTCGCCACACCGTCACGACCCCATGGATGGCGAACAGGAAGCGGCTAAGGAGTGCCAGCAAGATATTCAGGAGGCGACACATCATGAGGCGCGGAATCCCTGCACAGAAATTCGCTGTAAAAGGTGTGATAATTTCCACTTGTTGTTAAAAACAAAAAGTGTAATACACACTCAGAGCTTTGTATGTTTGATTACCAGTGCATCTCATCAGTTTACTCAGCCTTGTCTTTAGCTGTAGGATATTACATTAATGAGATGTGCACAGTGTAGTTTAAATAACAGAACTTTTAAAGCAGATGAGTTTTTAAGTGTCTTTGACATTTTTTAATTAAAAAAGTAAATAGATCAAAATGCAACAAAAAATAGTTCACTGATCTTTTTAATAAATTTTGGAGGTTGTTTGGTTGTTTTGTTTTTAGGAAAGAGCAGCTTCTTTTTTAAAAAAAAAAAAAAAAGGTCTGCAAAAGTGCAAGTCTCTACTATAGCAGCTTTCATTATGCCTGTTTTCTAAGTAAAAATTTAGTATAGAAGCAAGAAACACTAAACGACATTTCAGTTCAGAAACCAGTTCAGCCTTCATGATTTGTAACTGTTGGATGAGGCTTCAGTGTATAAACAGCCCTTGCTGTCAAGATAAAAGCCCCAGATCATTGGGGGGATTCACAGCGAGCTCCGATTAGTAATCAGGAGATAAACAAACTGATCTACAGTCAATATTAAATGACTCGTGGGTCTTTCCTCTGGTCTTATGATTTACTGACTTGAAACCTGTGCCAAAAAGAAGTCATCCTGGATGTCATCTTATTAGGATGTTTGCATAACCTGGTTTAATTCAAGATGAGAGAACCCGTCTGTCCCTCATAAATCTGTATGTTTCACTGAAGATCAACTCATTTCTAAGGAACATGTCTCCATTTTGGCTGGTTTTTATTTTTTCATGTCTGTTTTTCTTAGTTTTTATTTAGAAAATGTTTTATTTTTTCATTTTTTTCTAAAACTGTTTCTAAAGTCATAAAAATTTTATTTTATCTCAAGCAATTTACTGTCACTGTTCCTTATGTTGCCCTGAATTTACAGATTGCTCTGCTATGTGACAATATGTTGCGCACTCTTAGAAATGCTTTTTAAAGCAAACAGAACCATAAAGGAACCTTATAATGGGAGAATCCCCTTGAACGCTGCTTATAACCTTTATACTTAGGATGCCCCATATGTTTTCTGAAATATGGGGCAAGATCTTTCCATCTGTTTCCCTCGAATAAGTTTTAATACCTTTAATTTTCAGTTTCTAATATATTGTTGCTAAAATAACTAAACAACTAAGATAACAGTCATTATGTAGTAAGTAGTTTGATATTCTGAAATAATATTCTAGTGAAAATGTGTTTAAAGTTCACATTCTTTGCACATCGTTGAATATAGATAATAAAGCTTATACTTTTTTAGGATTGATATTTTGAACCAACTTCTGTCTAAACTGTTTTTATACATAGTTTGTTTTTTGTTTTTTGGTTGTTACTTTGGCACAAGATTGTCAAAAGTTTTGATAAATTGAAAACATAGCAAGGAAAAATCTTTATTCAGATTTGTTATATTCTAAAATCGTTCCATTGGCTCCCTTTATCTATGAATCAACAAATGGCTTAGCTTGAACATACATTAGAGACTTGTTGTAAGTGCACTAAAACCCCAGACGTCTCAGTTCTTCTGGCTCAAATCTACTTTGCATTCCTAAAACCAGAACCAAACATGTTCTTATGCTTAATTAACCGCAAATAGGCTCCCAGAAAGCTGTTAAAGTGCTGAAATCCTTAATGGCTTTGAATCAACCTATTTCTTTATAGTGCTATCTAAACATTATTAGCAAAGTTTTCAGTCCAGATTACCTCTTTTATCTTTTTTGATCAAGCATTATATATTTTTTTTATGATATCATCTTATTTTAATTATTCACTTATAGTCTGCTTAATTATTTGCATTGCTTCTATCCCCCTGCAGTGTTCTTTATTTCTTTTTTTTTTTCATGTACAGCCTTTTCAGGTGTTTGGTCACTGAAATATGCTAAATAAATAAACCTTTGCTTGCTTAATATCCATTTAAATACAACACAGCTGATAACAGTTTAAGCAACACAAACAGGTAGATTGAGTAAAATATTTTTATGCTTGTATACAAAAATCCATCAGACCAGGTAATGAATTAGCTTTTTTTCAAACCAACTAAATGAGGTACCAAAAGACATTTGGGGGGTAGTGTTTAAAATAGGGATATGAAATTCAAACAAACTGTGATCCAATAAGATTTTCTAATATTGGACAAGCTGCAAAATAAATAGAAAATCCCTAATTTCCCTAAAGATACCTAACAGAGCTATGTTAAGGGATTTCCCACAAATGTACTACTCAAAAATATTAAATTAACACATGTAGATTTTTAACAATCATCTTTCTCTACTCACTTAATTACACACGACTTTAAGGTTAATATGCATCCTTTAGTTTTATTTATCAGCTAAATGTTAGTCAATATAGTGAATATTTGCATGCAGCGCAGACCTGGAGCTGGACTCTCAGTTGATCAACTTCCTCTGCCTTTTCCAGAAAGTCACAAATCCCCTGAAGTAGTAAAAGTGATAGTCACACACAGTGACCTGGCTTCTATCTATCTTGTTTAGCCACCTCCTCCAGCTGCGGGCAGAGACACCATGTAAGATGTGTCTGCGTGTTTAGTGGGAAGTGACTGCCATTCAAGTGAAGTATCAGTGGGCTGTAGCGGGATTCACAAGTGTTTGCGAGGCCACCTTAACTCACTCCCCACCCATCTTCTCCATGGCGCCATTGTACAAGATAAGGCTTCCTGCCTGCTGCACCAACATCTTCCTTACCATCCATCATGATGTCATCTCAAGTGGCCCAGAACAAAGTTATCAGCTTGGGAGAAACCGTCCTGTCGGGCTTCCCTGCCCTGCTGCCACCCAGCCTGATCTGCCCACGCTTGGTCTGATAACGGTTTGAGTTCTGCACACAGGAATAATGGGTAACTGGAGAGAAAAGATGCTGTGATGGTTCAGCTGTTGCTTTGGAAGAAAGATGCAGGTATGTTTTATAGCAGGGGTAACCATTTAAAAATCAGTGGGGTCCGAATAAATAAAATCATCAACCAGTAAGGGTCTGGAGAAATTTTTAATAATAACCTGTTACTTTAAACAGAATCTAACACTGAAATAAAATTAGGTTTTTATGCATCCATGTTATAGATTGACTTTTTATATAAAAAAAAAAACAGAACATTTTTACATTTTAAAATCTAAAGTGTTATTTTAAGTAGAGAACAGCAATCGTTCAGTTTGGTATAAAGAAAATTTCCTGATTTACATATTTTATAAAACGCCTGAACTGACCGTTTATTTTTTCTCTTTCTTTTTTATGGCTTAATAAGAGTAGTAGGCTTTAGGCTGCCCTGCAAGGCTTTAAACCTGGGTTTGAATGGTTACAAAGCCATTCTCAAGCACATATCAACATGCTCATTCGTGAGCCTGGATCGATATTTATTTTTGATTCTGTTCATGGTGGAGAATCCTGCTTCACAGCAGTAGGTTCAGCCAAACATACTCAAAATGTGCAGGTTCATCTTTGAGCACGCCATTTCACTTTTCTGTCACCAGTTCACCACAGTTCTTCGAGGAGTCCACACTTTCTCTGCTCTCTTTTTCTCATCATCTTCTTCTCTTTTCCCATCGCCCGGCCTGCCAAAGGTTTGCCTGCTGTATCTAAAAGTAGCAGCAGCAGCAACCCAGACTGACAGCAGCTCATTGGCTAATTTGTATCACGTGCAGCCTGGTCCTAGAGGGCTTTACCGTACAAACAGGAGAAGCGACGCAAGTGAAATTGGACAATGTTGTCAGACAATGTACGGTTATTTATAAATGTTTTCAATCAGGTTGGGTCCGGATTAGCCAGCAGGGGGGTCCGGATCTGGACCGCGGTCCGCTTATCCGTTACCTCTGTTCTATAGGAAAGGCAGCCACCAACAATGCAAGGATGTTGTGTAATTTTTAATGAATAAGGTTAAACATTGATATTTTCTACTATTTCTCCTTTTGCTTGTATACCAGTCACCTATATTCCCAACTCCACTACTTCCTGAACTTCAACCAGCTCCTTTGTTTTCTATGTTTTATTAATCTGGGTTTCTCTGGCCAATGTCTCCATGGTTACTGAGGTCAGACACATCTGGATTAATCAGTCTGTCCAGTAATGAATGACAGAAAAGCAAAAGAGCTGGCTGAAGTTCAGGAAGCAGTAGCATATAGCCCCTTTAGAAACAACAAAGACCAGTAATAACAGAGCTCAAACTTTAACCATCTTTAAGGCTAAAATTAGCTAATCAATTTGCTTCATTGTTCTTTGTGCTACATAGGTAGCAGGAAGAATGTAGGAATTGCTTTTGATATTGTTTTTCTTGATAAAATTGATTTTTATTTCTCCAAATGAGTTCTGAAGAAATCAAGACTTTCATGGTTTTGGTTCTGTTTACGTTTTCTCTTTGAGCTTTCATTGGTTTTTCTAGTTATTTTTTGATGTATTTGAGTTCTTATGTATTCCTTGTTTGCCCTCTGTTGCCCTCTTGTATCAGTCTCCTTTCCCCTAGCTCCCTTCTAGATTCCTAGCTGTTGCATGTTAATATTTTAAGAATATGTTTGTACATTTAGGTCAATAGTTTGATATGAAAAGTTTGCCTTTGTACAGCAGCCTCATACCATCAGCATGTGGATGACTAAATGTTGTGTGAACTGCTTTTGCCTCCTCTGACATGAAAAAGCATTGTATACTATATGTACATTGCAGGATAAAATCAGAAAACTGAGAAACTTCAGACTAGAAAATTAACTGTCAGGATTAAAAAAAAAATTAAATCCTTCCAGAGGTTTAGTTTTGTTTTGTTTGTTTTTTGTTTTGTTTTGTTTTTTACAAAAATAACAAAAAAATATTCTAAGTTTCTTTAGTAATGGTCGAAAAAATGCAATTTCTTTAACTGTGAAAACAAAGAAAAGTGGCAAAACTAAAAAAATAAAATCTGTTACTTATTTTATTGCACACTGTTGCATCAGTTGAACAGTGGGATAAATATGGTCATAGTTTTGAGTTATATAATTCTAGATATTATTGTTTAATGCAGTAGTTGAGTTTGTAGCCCGTTTGCAAAAATGTTTTTATTTTCATGCAGGATGGATTTTGTCTGTGATTCTGCTGTTGGAAACTATCCTCTCTGAGGAGATGATAAACTGTCCCTGACCCGAGGAATCCTCTGCCATAAAGACCATCCTTCATTTTATCTATCCTGTGGAAGAAACCCCCCAAACCACAGTACAACACTGATTGTGCAAAAGAAAAATAATAATAATAATCATGCACCAAATAAATCTTTTCTTTTTTTTTTGTCTAAGAGTGCACAGATGTGAGAGGACTAATTGATTTGACATTTAATTGAAAACTGGGAGATTTAGAAACCGTACAGATTTACAGCGTAGTGTTATTTTAGCTTGAGATTTGTTTTTATATTAGCAATAGTCTGTGTTTATTTCCCACCGTTAGTGTATTTTTTCAAAATGCTGCTTTCCTGTCATTTTCTCTTCTCCTTTCAACAGTTTTGTACCTCATGATTGTACCTCCGCTCCACAGGGTGATGTGTTAAAGCTTCAGTTACACTTTTGAACCTGTGTTATGGGCCATCATATTATTTTATGGATAAAACAAACCTGTGTTTTCAACACTTTAAAAAAGAAAGATACTGTAAAAAGGGAGCCTTTATTGACTGCTGAGTCATGTGACCTTTTGTGCTCAGTGTCTTATAGCGAGCAATGACTCTCAAAGAATGGCCAGAGTTAAGTCGATTACGAAGGAGGTGAAAATATTGTGATTAATTGTGTTTAGAGCTTCATTTTTCAGGGACTCCCATTGAAACAAAGATTAAACATGCTACCATTAGCCCAGCCTTTTTAACGGTCTGCATAAAACATTGTTAGCATCCTGTTAAAACTGTTTTGAAAAAAATATCATTCAGTACTAATTAGTGGAGTATATCACTATTTTTTCCTTGTACTACAGCTTGTTACCATAGAAACTGGACACACATTAGTGGAGAGAAATTGCTGGATAAGCACACTACTTTATTCAGTCCCTGCCAGAATGATAAACATTTGAAGGATGCATAGTTCACTTTTGATTCATATGAAACAATAATAAATTGCTTACAACTGAAATTATTTCACTCAGGGTTTAACCATTAGGTATCTTGTTTGTTTGAGCTTTTTAAGTCCCTGGAGAGGAGTTTTCTTATTCTGAAATCAATTTCCCAGGTGTGTTGCAGGAATTACATGGAAATCTGACATCATTCTCAATTCTCAATCAATCATTCTTGATCTGTAATCCCTAAAAATTAAATTTCAGTTTTTTATAATCCCAAATAAGTATTTTCATTGTGTTAGTAAACATAGATCCCATCTGGCAAGAGTGATTCTAATTTGTTTTTCAAACGTCACCAAACAGCTATGCATTTACCATCCATGTGATTATTCTCATTAAGGAGGAAGATCGAGACAGACACATGTAGTAGTGGTGGACATCCTTTAATAACAAGGAAACAGGCAGACCTGGCAGTGGAGATAAGATACTCCAGACTGAGTCCTAAACCTGAAAATGAACCAAATAAATGGATGGAGGGACAGGAAGGATAGAAAAGGGGGGGTACAAGTGCGGGAAGAGAGGGAATGAGTTATCAGCCATGCAGAATAGCGGTGCACCTCATCTCGTCATCCTCTTGCCTGAGAGGTGTTTGTTGGTGTTTGAGACAGCAGGCAGTTAATGAAAGAGAGATATGGGGACTATGCTTGTTTGGAGGAAAGCTTGCGCTCAGTAAATTTGCTTGAGAGACATGATGTTTTTTGTTAAAATGATATTCATCTAGCAGGATGCAACTCTTAATAGGTATGTGGACCTCCAACAGGCAACTAAGTAATGTGCCTTTAAACATCCTCAGCTGTTTTTAATAGAATGCATTTATGTCCTTCTTACAGTTTAAACTCTTAACTACGTCCATTAAGTACCGTGTTTTTATTTTCACAGGCTCATACAGTCCGTACTTCTTTTTAATGGAAGTCTCCTTCTTTCTGAAGCCTGCATTATAGGTCAGCTGCACAGTCTGCCAGCATTTTAATGTCATGACTCCAGCAGTTTCCTATGTACAGCTTCTGATGGCTCCGACCCTGCTGCCTCCTCCTCACATCGTATACGCCACCCAGTAGATCACGTTCACCACGGCGAAAGTGAAAGGGAACACAGCCCTGGCATAGATGTCGATGGTGTCTGCATCGATTGGCTTACAGACACATTTGGAGCAACACTTTTTGTCCTCCTTGCTCGCCTCCGCCGGCCTGGATCTTCTCCTGCTCGGCTCGGGCTCCTCTGCGCCGCCCTCCCCGGGGATTTCACTCCCAGAGCGCTGCGTTCGGCCCTGGCGGTTGGAAATGACAACGCCTTGATTCATCCCAGTAACCGACAGGGAAAACAGAACCATGGCCTGCTTGCCGTTCTTTACTATGGACTGGAAAGACAGAAAGGAAATGAAGTTTATGAGAAACCTTGATCTAGTTTTTAACATCTGGTAAACTGTATAGTCTGTTGGAAAATAATCCTTCGTAGTTGAAAACAGCAGGAGACTAAACCAAGGAACTAAAGCAGCACATTTTGGTGTGAACTTTTTAAATACTGAAAATATATATCAGCAGTGTTTGGAAAAGTCAAAAAGTACTTCCCTCCATTTTGTTAAATTAGGAAATAATTTGTATTTTCTTTTTAATAGAAAATAGCCTAAGGTAGGTTGGTGTTAATATTTTTTTTCCTTAATAATTTGAATAATATAAAAAAATACTTTTGTTTGGTGGTGAAAATGACAATAAAAAAGCAAAGAGATTAAACCTTTAAGGGGGGCTACTATTTGCACAATGAAAGAAGTGAAATGTCCATGTCACTTGGTTAGATTAAAGATTTAAGTTTTTCCAACCACAAATTGGTGCTTTACCCTATATCAAAAAACAACAGAAAAAAAATAGAAGTATTTATCTATTAAAAGTCAAGGGGCATGGGTGAAATTTGGATTTCAGAAGTGGGGGGGATGCAAGTATCTTTTATTATAACTAACTTCAGCGTGTGTGACCATCCAGTCACAGACCCGATTCAGTGGCGCATCAGATGTTTGTAAACTGAGCTTCTGAAGAGTGACAGCGGTGACAGCCAATCACACAAAAAAAGACGGTGGGCCAATAAGGAGCTAGTTGGTGGTCCAAACCCAGAGATGCGGGCTTCAGTTTGAGCTGCGGTTTTCCGCTTGGTCCTAGTGCTTGACAAATGTCTTTGTATTGTCTCGTAACATTGTTTTTGGACAGTAAATGCCGCAGGGTACCAAAACACACGTTTGAAAAAGTGCAGGGGACATGTCCCCCCTGTCCCCCCAAAAAATTCCATCCACGAAAAGCAATAGCATCACCTCACCACATCTACTTAAAGCACAGGAACATATCAGAAGGCAAATTGAGACTATCATAAAAGCTCTGAGGCATTTCACATTTTTTGCTTATTAAAAATCATCCATAGGATGAGGTAAGTGCTGCATTTGTAATGACCAAATGTTCAGCTTTTTAAATCTCCTGATTTATAAATCTTGTCTCTCTGGTCATCAATGTGAGTGAGACCAAAGAGATTTATTTGATTGTACAAAATTAAGTTTTTAGTCTTTGGAATAAATTAGCTGTTTTACATTTATGTCAATGTACAGATGTTGTTAAGTAATATCACTTTGAAAGATAAAAAGGAGTTTAAATCAAATCAGAAACAGAGCATGAGTAACTTTTTTAAGTTGGGACAGAGTAACTTTTTTTCTTCAGTTCAACAATTTTCATTCAAAGACGTTGGAAACAAATTCAGTTCTGTTATAAAAGGTTTAGTTTTCCCATTCTAGACCATTCTACACATATTAGCAGCAATTATTTACTGTTTAGTGAATAATATCCTCAAGCAAGCTGGGATTAAAACTACAGAACACAATCACAACAGCAATAATATGACTAAATTGTAAAAACATCAAAAAATACAATGAATCTCAAGCAATCCAAACCCCCATGGCGTCTATGACCATTATATTTTAGGTTTCTTTCATGATTTGTTTATCTTATCCCAATTTTGTAACAAAAACCATTGATCCTTAATCGTTATTATCAAAAGATTTTCAGTTTAACAGTCGAGCCTCACAGCTTAGCTCCTTGATTTGCTCAGTTTGTTAAACCTTGTCTCCTTGATTTGTTTCTTTCAATATCATAAATAAGCTGATAACTTATCTGTTTGTATTCATGAGGAATTTCCACAAAGTGCCGTTTGCTATTCTGTGAGTACCGTATGTCATCTGTAACAAAATAAGCTGACAGTAGGATGAGAATAACCGCTAATCTCTGTAGGGAAATCATCTGTTCCCTCAATCTTTTCTATAGAGATTTCTTGTCTTGCTGAAGGTCAGTGGGATGGATGCTTGTCAGCAATGAGTCTAACCAGCCACACAGTTCTGTTTGAAGACATGCTCACTACTGAAAAATAAAAAACCCCAAAAAGTGGGCATTATTATCCTGGTCTGACAGGCCAGCATGAAAAGAGTGTTTCCTTACCTCAGAGCTCAGCTTGCTTGCCTTAACTTTGGCCTTCTCTTTGAGTCGGTAGTCAGCGTTGTAGTGAGCGAAGGCGTATTCAATGAGGGCCGCAAACACAAACACATAACAGATCCAGAAGTAGACATCCAATGCCTTGATGGCTGACGCCCGAGGCAAGGAGGAGCGGGCGCTCACCATCAGGGTAGTCATGGTGAGAACCGTTGTGATCCCTGTTGGAAGAAATCCAGTCTAAGAAAACTGACTGAGAGGATAATCTGTCCAAATGCATAAATATGTGAAATAAATATACCGGTATCTAAAACTCCCCAATTTAACAAATTAAAAAGAATCAAAATAAAATGTTCAAGGACATCTATGCTTTTACCTTTGTAATTCACATAATATTTCACAATCCATCTGAAGCATTTTTCATGTAAATACTTTCAACAATCCATTATTCCAAGGACTACAAAGTGACTTTTAAAAAAATTCTTTTTTAAAGAGCCTCTACGCATTACAACATGTTTTTCACAAAGGCCGACTTTTTAGAAGGCTGTAAAACTGGAATCATGTTTCTCTTGGTGCAGTATGGTGGTATAGTTCATCACATGGACCTGCAGGCATGAAAAAAGCAAGTTAATGTGAAATCTGACCAACAATGAGCACATACTGGCAGATACAGTAAATGACTGAATGTATTAATTTGTATACAGAATATTTAAACCATTTTAAGGATTAGTTTTCATTATATTGACTCCAGAGTACCTCGCAAAAAGCATTCATTCCCATTAAACCCTTCCCTTTTGTTAAATTAACTACATTTATTGCAGTAGAACAAAACAATGTTGGGAATTCAAAGGAAGATAATACAATTACCATGTTAATCACAAATAAAAGTAGAAGTGTCACATTTTTGGTTCTGTTTAAGTTTTCTTTTGAGTTTTACTTTGATCCATGTCTTCCTTGTTTTCTAGGTTTACTGGTTTAATTCCGGTTTTCTGGATGTATTTCAGTTCTTTCTCATAGCTATCTTCCTTTTTTTCCCCTTTGGGATCCATGGTCCGAGACACACCTGCAGCTTTGTTTGCCGTGCTTGCAAGTAAAATTAGGATAAATAAATAAGTAGACTCGCTGTTCCCTGCTAGCAGAAGAATGTATCATCACTATTGAGTTAAGTCTAATTAAGATCAAGTAAATTGGGTTGTGCAAGCTGAATGTGTTTGACTTAACTTGTACATATCAGTGTTTTTAAGTTGCAGAAAGGATTGCTGTTGAGTCAATGAGTCGATGAAATCAGCTGGTTTCCTTAGATAGAAAACACTGAACCAATCCGACTGAATGTTTGTATTGTCTCTGTAAAGTACTTTGAAATGACCTGTGTTTTGAATTGGCGCTATATAAATAAACTGAAACTGAAGTTATACAAACTGACATTTTGTTGTAGTTTGCATATTAAGTAAAGTCAACTTAGAGATAACAGTGGAGATAGTGTGAAAATCTGTTCTACAAAATATTCAGTTGGAGACTGGAATACAGAAAAGGGCATGGTGTTTTTTTATTTTTTTACTCCACAGTCTTGAACCAATGTGTGTTCAGGCTTTGACATAAATTCTTAAAAGACACACTGAAGTCTTAGGGATGCAGTGGAATAAAAGGTTCAAGGAGAATGTACACTTTCTGTAAGGTAGTTCAGGTTATATCTTAGAAAAATTTGTCTTATTTCTATATTGAAATATTAAATTCAATATAAATTAATATAATAAATATAAATTAATATAATATTAGTTAAATTCTTCAGGACAGTAAAAGCTGATATGTTGCCCATGTTAATACCTTCAGTGAGCCCAGCTTTTATTCTTCTAGCCCAAAAATATGATGTGACTTTTGATAAATATTTAAGTTGATCTTCTGTGGAAGCTTTTAAAATCTGCAAACATTTAATTAAGAAAAAGCTTCATGCACTGTTGGTATTCTAGACACCAATACCAGCTGATATTTAACTCACATTATTTCAAAATATAAGGATTAAAGAAAGACTTTATACCAACCTAGGGTTACTCTAGCTGGAACTGCTGATTGGCTGATCCAAAACGACACCCAAGACATTGCAACCAGTAGTATAGAAGGCATGTATGACTGGATGATGTAGACACCTCTGTTACGTCTCAGCTGGAAACGAAGGCTTAGCCTTGGAAACCGTCCCGCTGGGAAACAGAAAGCAAAACAACCTAATTTAATTGCAGAACTAAATTAACTAATTATACATCTTGAAAAGTCTCTATTGTTGCCCGCAGGCGGCAGGGCTGTTAAGAAAGACTTGTCGCTGGCTTGAGCCCAGCGACAATATATTTTACAACTTTATATTTTACAACTTCCAGTTGTAAAATATAAAGTGTTACAGAGTGAAAACTCCCTGAAGAAACTCCTATCATGTTTTAAATCTCCTGCCCTGCTCAGCGGCAAGCCTGGCTTCATCTATTCCTTCTGTGCATAGAAAATAACCACGGAGATGCCTGATGTTTTAAAGAACTGGACTTCTGAAAGATTGGGTAAAGTTCTTAAACACAAGGGGCTAGTCAAAACCAGAAGCTCAGAAAGATGCTGGAATATCTTTATACTTAAACTAATGCCGAAAGTAGCAGAACTTCTTACCTGATTTAAAGTTCATCATTTCTGTGACAAAGCGGTAGTCTGTGATGGTGAACTGGGAGAGCTCCAGTTTGTCCAGTCCATGGATGTGCCTCTGACTGTCTGACCAGTGATACACTATGTCCTCTGAGGAGTAGCCATCTTGAACAGAAGGAAAACACAGTAAACAGACGTAATGTGAGGTAATGTAGGTTTTTCCCAGCATGAGGCATTTTACGCCTAATGGCTAGCAGCGCTATTCTAATCAACACATTACAGCCTTTTAAAGAGACAAGTTTCAAGGTTAGCATATCCCGAAACACTCTTTTGCAATAAGACAATTTACAGTGACAACATTTTTTATTTATATTATTCCAATCTATTTATTATTATGCAACATAATTACTAAAAAGTTAGAACGAAGAATGTTTTACAAAGTATGGGATCGATTTGTATTCAGCCCCCTGAGTGAATACCTTTAAGTTAAAGCTGAAAGTCATTAGTGGTTTCTCTCTTCCAGCTTTGAATATCTATAGACTTTTTATCTATTCTCCTTGTTAATATAAAGCTCAAGCTGCGTCAGATTCGAAAAGATGAGTCAATGAACAACAGTTTTATAAATCAGATAAACCAGACTAAATTTGAGATTAAATGTGTAATTTAGTCTGGCCCAGATGAATGAGACATCGGAAGATTGTTGATAAATACAACCCGTTGTCTTTCAAACCATGACTGTGCCTATTGGTCAAACGCTTTGACCAATGAGCGCAACTGACTGTGACAGAAAGCTGGTGGGAGAGTGTAAACAAAAAGCCTGTCGGTAATTGGCGAATTCGTCCTTCTTAAAAATTAATGAGCGTAGAGCCTCTTCCTGCTCACGTTTCAACAAAAAGCCCAAGTCTAATCCTTCCAAAACTGATTCCAAAGCTGAGTCAAATGAGAACTGTTCAATAGCTGTTGCCAACTTCCTTGTTGTGCTTTCTCCAGCGTTGCGTGACGCCCTCAAAACCCCGCCCACTTTGCATCCAAAAATTCAAATTACATCTCTGCATTGTGATTGGCCCGCCTGTTCTAGGGCCTGGGGCATTGATCGAGGCTAGACCACTCGCAGGCAAAAATGATTTTGGCCCCTGGTGCGTGGGAATAGTTTACTAGGCTAATACTTAACTGGATTTGGGCCATTTTACAACACAGATTTGTGCAATTATTCTGTCTTAATCATTGCTGTATTGCTTTGGAGCTGTTTGCTTCCCCTTCCCACAGTCCTATGTTTTGTTTTGGTTTTTGGGTAAATCTAGCTGCATCTTTCCCATTCTCTAGTGGAATAAGCTTTTCCAGAACTTGATTCCTGCATTTTAATTTGGTGATAGTTTGTTCAGAATAAGTGAATTGTAGGTTTTTTCACCACATGTACGATATGTTGTACAAAAAAAAATCAAATTTGGTGTCATCTGGCCAATGCACATGTTTTCTATATCCCCTTCATTGCTTGTTAAACATGGAGAGAGAATTTTTTTCCAGCATTAGTCTAACATTGGCTACCTGCTTACCAGTTATTTTTATCTTGTCAATGGATTTTCCCACCTGAGCTGCAGCTGCTCCAGAGTTATCATGGAATTATTTGTTTCTTCTTTGAATGATGTCAGTTGTGATTTACGGTTATGTCTTTAAGTTTGCTTTATTTTGTTAAATGATGAATCAAGTTCTTTGAGTATACCTCGCTCTTCACGATGCTGTAAATTCACTATTGTTCCTTTAATAATTCGGTTGTTTTTGAGGTCATTTGTTCCAAGTGGATTTTAATAATTATACAAAATATAAAAGGGCAGAAATAAAAATACATGCCACACTTTTTAAGTTTTTTTTTTTTTGTAAATTGTTTGGAAATGATATCACATCATGTTTTTCTTTGTTTTAATCAATAAATTAAACTCAAAGTAAATGGAGCTTTGAGGTTGTAGGAACTTGAAAACATGAACTTACAGCTTTCTAAGTCCAACATACACTCCTGTTCATCCATGGGATACTTGGTTAGATCCATGTCACAGGCTACCGTCGAAGTGATTCTAGGGACAAAATCGAAACAAATTTTATTCGGAAGTCACAAGTTAGAAAAAAATACAAAGACGAACAGAGAAAAGACTGAAGTCCGATGTTGTTGTTTTGTTTTACCTGCTGCTGTACAAAATGACTCCATTTGGCTGCAGGCGGATCAGTTTGTTCTCCACTGTCACATCATGGAACCAGGCAGATTTAGCATTAACGATGAACGTGTCAGGTACCCACAACTTGTCCACAAACCGACTGTCCAGGCCAAGAGTTTTGTTGGTGTGATTGTAGGACAGGCGGTCGTCGCGCCAGCTCTGCCGCAGGAACACTGTCATTGTATATTCCTACCACGACAAACAAATCATTTATTCTTCATTATGCAATTTGTGTTTAAAATAAAGGCAAGTAAAATAAAGCCAAGTCACTGATTTATAATGTTAGAAAAGTAATGTCTTCCACATTGTGTTTAGACATGCTTTGCTTTAGCAATAAAAAAAAATTGGTTAAAAACAGGAGTACACTTAATGAAGAAATGTAAAGAAAAAACAACATGTATACTTTATACTATTATTCCTCATGGCTGTTTAAGAGTGTTTGGAGCTTTATTAAAAAAACAGATTTTACAAATTGCAGACTCTCAGGGAGTTGGGAATGTATTGGTTGGTTTATCGCTGCATTAACTGCAGAACTTTTTCACTTGAGAAACCATATAGACCATTTGAACAAGCCTTCTCGTTTAACTTTTTTTCACAAGAGAAAAGCACAATAGAGGATTAATAAAAATGAGTGAAGTGAATTACAGCAAAGCAGTACGCTCAGAAACAGGGTTTGCTCGAGTGGAATACATTCAATATTAATACATCTTGGGCATTCCTCCTATTAAATGTAAAGAGTTTGTCATAAAGAGGGTCTGTTTAGCTGATATGTTTTATTTTGGCTTTAGGCATATTCTCATGTGTAACTATAATGTTATTCTTAACATCCATCAGTCTCTCTAAACTTACATGAAACTACAATCTCTAGTCTTTTAAACATTCAATTTTTTTTTTTAAATCACTGTAAAGTTTAAACATTATTAAAAAAAAACAATAGTGAATAACAAAAAAACGGTGACACTGTACCAAACATGAAGAGGCACATAAACAACTTTAAAAAAGGGTTTTTCTGTGTTATCTGGGGTAAATATATCCATCACTGTCTTCCTTTTGTCTTAACAAGCTCAAGCCAACAGCTATTCATAATGAGCCAAAGACTGTAGCCAATTCCCAAAATCTGTCATTTATTGACAGGCTTTTTAACATTGTTCTTGAAACTAAGCCATGGTTTCTTCTTTTTTTTTTTTTTTACTGTTTTACTCAAATAAATAACAAAGGTTTTTCTATTCTGTTCCAAAGAAAGAGACAGATAACAGGCACAAGAAGAGAGCCACAGAGTCCGTAGCGCTTTTTGAAATGTTTTTTAGTGATAAAACCTAACTTATCAAAATGATATACTAATGAATATTACATCCTAAAATGTGTTACGCCAAAATATAATGAAGCTTAATATTTCACGGCTGTTAAACTCCCCTATTCAGATGATAGATTTAATTTTATGTTGGTCGGATATCCATTTTGATTGACTGATAAATGTCTGAGCCTATCATTCATCATATAATAATATAATTGAACTTTATTGATCTCACGTTGGAGAATTTACCTTGGCATTTAACCCATACCCTTGGGGAGCAGTGGGCTGCCATTGTGTGGCGCCTAGGGAGCAGGGCAGGGTTAAGGGTCTTGTTTAGAGAGCCAGAGTGCAGGCTGTGGGGATCGAACCAGATACTTGGAACCTTCCCAGAGCACAATCGCATTGCTCTAACCACTAGGCCAGCATTCCCCCTTTCAGCACAGAGATTCTTTTCTAGATTCAATTAGTTAAGTCACACTGGCTTGTTATAAATACCTAAAAATAGATCTTTGACAGGAACGGATCCATCGGATCCAGGTTCATCATCATCATCAAGTGCAGTAAATCTCTAATGTGAACGCTATTTTAGAAAAACAGTAAATCATCATATGTTTGCAATAAATGCAATAAATTTACTATAAATAGCAACTACGGTATGGGAATATGCAGTGTTATTGCTTTTTCATATGAAAAACATACTAAATAACTTAGCTGATAGTTGATTATGGTAGAAGAAACTATCTGCAAATGTTAAAGAGTTTGAAAAGTCACTTTGAGTTTTGTTATTTACTAAGCTCTGGTCTGCAGCACATTTCACGCAGGAAGGACTTAGAAACGAAATTCGAGCACAGTTCCTAGAAAAAACAACAACAACCTTTTGCTAAAAGTAAAACAATCATCTTGGTAAAGATGATTTCAGCTAGGACACTTTTTAGACTGTATTTGATTATGCATTAGGATAATATTAGGTATTTCCATTAACAGAACCACACTCCAAAAAGATTTAAACTGTCAGAGTGCGAAGTTGAGAAATATTCTGTAGTTTACCATGTTGGCTTCAGAGATGTGATCAATGCTGGCCACTTCAATAGCCATGGCCACGTTCACTGGTGGACCTGCAGAGCGAAAAGTGAGAAAACAAGACACACCCATCTAACACACTCACCCATACACCTTCTCTGCCCAGCCTGACTCCATCCGCCCCCTCACATCCTCACTTCATTACCCTTCCGCCCACCACCTCCCTGCTTCTCAAACACTCCTACAGTGCCTAAAGATTAAGCATTATCCAGTGTAACCACGCTAAGCGGAGCATCACACTGTGGGCATTTATAAACAGCATGGGACTCTCATGAATCTGCACAGAGTGAGCTTCAGACAACATCCATGTGACAAAAACACACACGTGCGACGTTGTGTTTTCACTAAACAGCCTGCCATATGATTAGCATGGAGTGTGCCTCGATGATCAGATGCTGGAGCCTGAAGCTGCAGGGGAGCTTAGATCACAAAGGCTGCTAACGCTGAACATTAAGGAATCATACAGTGCTTTTCCACATCATTCAACACCTTCCCAAACCCATTCCTCGGAAGTTCTGCTTTCCGTCGGCCGTAATCAAGAGGACTAGTCTGTGTGTTTAAGTGATTTAAAACTGCTTGATTCTGCAACTATGTCTGATTTAATACTATGATTTTGAAATTGATAAAACCTAACACACAAATGGAAGTTATCTTTATGTAAATCAGATTATTTTAGAAATCTAGCTAATGATTTTTATCTTTCCTATTGTGTAAAATCCATTACATGCCACTGTAGGACAAAGCACTAATACTTTGCTGCATTCGCATCACCTCCACGTGATTCATACAATCTGGATTTTCGAAGGACTGTTAGAAACAATGAAGCCGAGGTCCAACTTTTCAATAAAAGGTATTTCTCTATATACTGAAAAGCCCAACAGCAATGAAGCAGTTTTTGTTATAATCTTTTGCATCATGTTTTCACACTAATCCTGTGTCAGTTTGGACCAACTTTGACAGCTAGAGATTTGAATAATTTTCCACATACTTTTTCCTCCACTTTGAACTTGCTGACTGCTGTTTATTTCAGGGAGACGAACTTTCCACCATAAACAAGAATCTCTGTTAAAAATGCTAAACACAAATAAATGAAGACACTTGGACAAATGGGTAAATGTGTTTTATGGATGTTTTGCAATAAAAGGAAGAACACTTTTTGTAAAACAAAAACATTTATACTTCATATGTCAGTTGCAATTCCTTTTGATTAAACTTAATTTCTGAAATAGTTCATTAAAAAAGAAAGTTAAGTTTCATGGTATGCACCAAATAATTGCAAATGTCCTTTTTATTGCAAAACATTATGAATCCTTTTTCATATTCATGTTTATAACACAGGCATAACTCCTTATGAAGGGTTGAGTTGAATGAAGGGAATCACTGATAAAAACATGATTCCTTCGTGGTCACGGCAGCTCTTTGATTCAGATCGCCTTCTCGGCACAATAAAATTTCACATCCATATAAATGTAGTGACAACATGCAGATCTCTGCAGAGGTGCGGCGTATGTGGTCCCAGCAGCTCTCCTCATCCACATTTTCAACTCTCGGCTCAGCTGAGTTAAGCTGTGAGATTGAGAAATCTATCGTTGTGGTCGTTGGATGTTTCACATTTAGCAGCCATTCTTAGCAACGTCTCCAGAGGGCTTCTGAGAGCCTATGAACCCCCCGCCCCCCAAACCGCGCTCTGCAGCTTGTCCTTGAGGACCGTCATCCCTTATAATCCCTTTAGCAAAGCCTCTCACACTTAATGATTTTTGTGTCCTTAACGAACAATTTGCCTTTTAGGAGAATTAAAGCAGGTATTTGCATGAAGCAAACAGCTTTGATTCAGTGTAAAAAAAAGAAATAAATACCTACCTAAAATACAAACATCCATGTTTTGCCTTTTGTGTTATGCTAAGGATGGCTGTAAATGTGAGGGGGTGAACTGCAACCCAACACCACAAGCCTTAGATCTCATACTCACCTCCTATCCCAGGGCGAAAATTTCTGGCATAGCCCTTCATTAAATCATCCAGGTTAGGTAACCAGGAAATTTGAATGTCTGTACCTACATAGTCCCCAATGTCACTCAGCATGGCCCTAAAGGAGACAAACAGCAAACACAGCAGCCTTCAGCAGATTCAACAGAAAAAAAGTTTCGATTATCAGGTAAATTCATAAAAACAGGTCAGAAATAAACAGTTTAAGCCATTAGCCTGTGCATGAGTATAACTTTGAATATTTAACAAGCATTCAAGGCTTCAGCCAACTGAACGGCACGTCCTACGTTCAGCCTCCCTCTAAATTATCATTTGTTTAGGACTTGGGTGCAACCTGCAGATAGGCAGAAAACTATTGCAAGGAGTTCAGACAAGATAAACAAACGCCTGGAAAAAGTTAAGGTAATTAAACAGAACTGCAGGAACATTTCACAATGAAATGCACTAAAGGTCAAAGCAAGAGAGAGATTTAAAAGCAGAAAGCAGGAGAGGCTGCAAAGGAAAAAAAAACAAGGGTTTACAACTGACAGTGTGAAGTTGTTTTAATGGTTAAACGTTAATAATAGAGGAAGTAAACTAATAAAACCGAACAATGCATGAATAGAAAAGTAGATTGGTTATGTTTTTTTTACCCTTTTCAGCATTCCACCAACCAGCACACTTCACTTAATATCAGCAGGTGCAACATAAACGCTGAATTATAGACCTATATGCAGGTTTTTAAAATTCAACAGGCATTAAAGACATAATGCAGCCTAAAAGGCTCCCACTCTGTCCAAAACTCCAAGCATTTCCAATGACTTTAGTTGGTGCATTATTGAGCAGCAAAGCAACCACAGAGGACTGAAACTCAAATAAAACTCATTTGTCAGTCGGAGCTACAGAAATTACTCTACAGGGGCTTATGGAGGGTTTTTTTTTTTAAAGAAAAGAGCTGATGCAACACAGTGGTAAATACGCTGTTGTTTTTCAGCATTTCAAATCAATGAATATCCTCTTTCTTCTGGGTTTCAAATTCTACACAACCTTCAAACACAAAAAACACAACCTGGGCAAGAACAAAGGCTTTTTCAAGCGATGCTTTCGATCACCACAGCCAACAGGTTAAGCTTAAAGAGGTAAGACGCTTTTTCAACCTGTTTCCCTTGTATTTACCCAAAATATTTTCATGTAAGAACATCAAACATGAAATTTTATTTTGTTGGAAATAACAAAGTTGCTGTAACTGAGCTTATGATACAGTAAACTGCAGAATTTTTGCAGCTAATTTGGAATTTTGTCCAATATTTGTATGTGTTTAAAAGCTATGGTGAGGAAATGACTCTCTGGCCATGGTGGCTTCCACAATAAAAAAAATAAATAAATGAATTGAATAAATGAAGATAAAGTATGTTATATAAATATTACGGCCTCATTCATTCAGAGATAAAATCCTGGATGTCTTTAAAATGAAGTCCAAATGAAATATTCCAACAAATCAAACGTAAATTGTATTATAACACACTGGAATAAGGTATATTTACTTATTTATGGACTCAATTAATGTTTTGTTTGAAAGAGAAAATGAGCATTTGCCATTTTTTCTTTTTCATTGCCTTCAGAATTACCATAGATCTCTGAGACATGATAATAAATGAACCACAGTATATAGATGTGTTAAATCTCATCTGAATACTATGGGTACATTGATCAAAGCTTCTTAGGTCACAGCATGTAAATGAGCGCACTCCACTGTGCAATAAATTTGAGGTAGTTTTGTCTTTTACAATATAATGTAAAAAAAAATATCAGAGGGAACTGCAGCAAAAGATTTTAAGCTAAACAGAACTTTTGAATTTAAATATTTTCACTCAATCAAAACAAGAGGAAAAGAAAGAAACAAAGCAAACAGGCCATTTGCAAAAATATATCATTTTATTTAAAAACCTTAATTTTTAAAGCCAGATTTTAACATTTGAATTTGTTGTATCCATTTCAGGATTCCACACAATCAGACATCCCCACGAACAAAACCCACAATAAGTTTTACCTCCTCTGCAAATAAACTAGAAAAAGAGTAATAGTTAAACTAAAACTTTATAATGGTTTAAAGAGATCCCCCTTGAGACCCATAAAACCACAGACTGACAAAAAAGCTTCCAGCCACAGTCTCTGTGGTTCAGTCTCACAGCTTAAAACCACTAGGTGGCAGGTTTGTACTCTGAAAGGCTAATAGGGAGGGTTTAGTAAGGACACACTCTCACTGACAGCAGAACTATTAGTACTTATATAAACACTGAGCTGGAGAATCACATTTTACACACAATCTGTCTTCATGATGCAAACAGCCAGCAGTGGTGATCTAAATGAATGGAGCGAATGCAACTTTCCCTGACATTTAAAGTCACATAGGCTGGTTTTGGCATTGTCATGAAAATAAACCCCACAGAGGGCGCTTTATCAAAGGCGATGGTATTGACAAACTGTGAAAAGCCATTTGGTGACCTTTGAAATAAGGAGGGACATTTTAGGGGAAGGTAAAGAAGCGACATGGAACACTCATCTACAGAATAATATTTTTTTTATGAAAAAGCTATGATAAATACAATATTTTTGTCATGTTATTTATATTTTTATTGAGGATTCATTTTGTAGTACAAGATGTATTTATAGCCTGGCAATCAGACTCAAATGGGAGCACTTGTGAGCTAATTAATCACTCTGTGGCTCCTGTATTTTTTTTTTCTTCTCGCTAATTGGTTGTTTCTAAATCGGGAAATAAAGAGCGTTTTCTTTATACAGTTTTCTGCACACCAAGGTCAAACATGCCTCTGCAGAACAGGGGGACAGCAAGTGTGTGGCACTGAGAGAAAAAAACAGCAGTTGTTTTAACACAGTGGGAATTCAGTTCAGAAAAGGATTTATTTACCTGAACTTTAGTATTAACATTTATTCGAAAACATTTCTCACAATTAGTCTGGTTCCAGCCACAACCTTTACTGTTTTTTTTTTTACTTTTTTTTAACCAAAAAGTGTGAAATGCATTTATATATCTGCTCCCCTGAGTTGGTATTGTACCTGCAAATGCTGCTGCCGTTTTTTTTTTTTTAATCTTCAACCATTTGTATTTGCAAAATAACAAAACTTAGTTGAAAAAGGAGGAGAGACCTTTGCTGAAGATCATCTTTTAAACCTTTATTCAGATGAAAGCATTGATCTTACTTGTTCCTATGTATGTTTGGCTGTATGATGGTGGGTGGGTGGTTTCCTGCAGTCTATTTAGCTCCATCCATCTTCCCCTAACTCTAACCGGCTTCGTTGTCCTATGTAAAAAAGGGTCATTCTCACAGCATGTTGCTGCCAATACCGTGCTTGCCAAGTCAGCTTTCAGCTGAACACAGAGGCCAGAAAGTTCCCTCTTAGACTCATCGAAATCAGAGCACCTTGTTTTCCTGTAGGCTGTGTCCGTTCTGTATGTGGCAAACAATAAGTATTTTTATGGCTTTTCTTTCAAAACCAGCTTTAATTGGAGCACAATTTCAAAGATAAATTTATAGAGTGACAGATTCTCCCACCTGAGCTGTAGATCTCTGCAGCTCCTACAGAGTTGCCATTCCAAAATCTTAAATTTACATTTTTTAAATACTCTGAAAACCATGTATGGGACATTTTATCGCATCTTATCAAGCTTGTGTTTGCACACTTTAAATGTAGGTTTATCTTTTGCTCAGAACTGTGAATATATTATGACAAAACCTTAAAAGGTTTAAGGCTAAATCCCTAAAAGAAATTTTGATTGGATGTTTTTCTATTTACTTCTTGGTTCCTTGTTGCAGATACATAAAGAGAAGTTAGCTATTTAATGAAATTGCATTCCTTAGATTGTTTTAGTTAGAAGTTTCTCTCTCAAAATCACTGAGAAAAAAAAACAAAGTGTGAAGTTTTCAGCTTTGAAAGGGAAAAAAATGAAACAACAACAATGTATGCTGTCACCAGAAATGTGCAGGTTGCAATTATGATTGCTTTCGGGCTTCACTAAATATTTGAAGCTCTCTACTTTCCACAGCAAACAGCAGAAAGTGTTTGGCTGCAGATGCTCCCCCTTTCATTAAGTGTCTCTCTCCAGTCTCGAGCTGCATATAAGCTAACATTAAACAGATGGGGGGGATAAATCTGAGCCTCGCTCAAATTTATAGAGTCTGCTTGGGAATGTAATGTGCCTCACGCACTGGTGGCCTAATTAGTTTTATATACTGGCAGTACCAGTTACCTGAACATGAGTGCCGCATACATCCCCCTGAGGAGGAAGTCATTCTTTAGTTTTAACTGCAAAATGAAAGATGAGGAGCATCAAGACCAAATTCATACAATTCTTATCAGAAGATATAAGAAGCAAACAATCAGTATCTGCTGCAGTGTCAGAGTCACAATTTTGGTTATTCAAATAAGACAGTTATCTAATTTTATGAAAAAGAATATGGCTCCCCATTATATGCTTAACTACTAAGAAATTTATATATCTTGACATGTAATCTCTGCTCCTTTTTTCCTTGAAAATGAAGTTTTTCACCTTTTAGCTTCGAAATATCAACAAAAATAAAATAAAAAATAGCAGAAATAATCTTCATACAACGGTTCCCTTCCAGAGAGTATCTGCTTGTAATTATCTAACAGATTCTGACATCTCTAAAAGTCACTTTAATCTGGACTTTATTACCGTGGTGAAATGTCCAGTTGTGCTTTAGCTTTTCCTCAAACATAGCAGTCAAACTAACCATCGCTAGTTCATTATTGATGGTAGGATGGAGCAGATCAAGTGATGGGTTGATAGATTGGGACTTGTATACAGTAAAGAAGGCAAAGATCTGATCTTTGGTAGAAAAGAAAAAAACAAAAGCTTTAACTTTAGTTGTTCTTCCAAAAGTCGACCATAACCTTTAACATGGAATGGCAAGTTGGTCGTCAGGTGCCACTGTCTTCCTGCTGCTTTCGCTCCAAAACACCTGGAACTAAAGACCAAGTTACCTCCTTGGCCAGGGGAAAACTTACCATTTGGTAAAACTAGGTCGTTGCCTAGGGCCCCAAGTTCTAGGGGCCCAATAAAGCTCTATTTACATGTAT